CCCACAGGTTGAGAACCGCTGATTTATAGGATTTTCTTTTTGTTGTTGTTATTGTTATTTTTTGTTTTGTTTTCTTTTGCTGTCTTTTTTTTGGGGTGCTTATTATTGTCTCTTTATAGATAAGATAGGCGGGATAAACAACCCCAAGGAGAAAACAATGGGACGGACAGTTCCAGGGGGACACAGGAGAGGGGCAGGCGGGGGGAAAGGAAGGGGGTTGTCAACAAACCCATGGAGAAGGGAATAGCAAATGATCTAAAATCGATGGTGAGGAGGGCGTAGGATGCCTGCTGGGGCTCGATCAAGGGCAATGTAACTGAGAGGAATTACTGAAACCTGAATGAAGGCCGAACATGATAATGGTACAAGAGAAAAGTAAAAAGAAATAAAGGAAAGAACTAGGAGGCAAAGGACATTTATAGAGGTCTAAATATAGGCATGTACATATGTAAATATATTCATATATAACGATAGGGAAATAGATCTATATACATATATTTATATGTTAAGTTTTAGGTATCAAATGGACACTGGGCCTTGACTCAAGTACTCCCTCAACACAAGAACACTTTGTTCTATTAACCTGGCATTCTGTGATGCTCACTTTCCCGACATGATCGCTGAAGACAAAGTGGGTGCATAAGCAAATGTTGTGAAGAAAACTGATGGTGCCTGTCTATCAAAAGATACCTGTCTGGGGTCTTAAAGGCTTGAAGATAAACATGTAGCTGAGAAACAGCAAAGCCCACAAGGAAAAAGTACAACAGCCTGTGTGATCCTGAGATGTTGATGGGATCAGGTATCAGGCATCAAAGACCCAGAAAAAAAAAGCATATCAATGTGAATGAGGGGAAGTGTGGAGTGGAGACCCAGAGCCCATCTGTAGACAATTAATTGGACATCCCCTTATAGAGGGTCACAAGGAAGAGATGAGCCAGTCACGGTACTGATGAAACATACAACTTTCTTCTAGTTCTTTAATGCTTCCTGCCCACCCCCAAATCATGACTCCAATTCTACCTTACAAATCTGGCTAGATCAGAGCATGTACACAGGCTCAGATAAGCGCCCAAAACACCAGGAATCCAGGACAGATAAACCCCTCAGGACCAATAAGAGTAGTGATACCAGGTGGGTAAGGGGAAGATTGGAGGAGAAAGGGGGAACTGATCACAATGATCTACACATAACCCTCTCCCAGGGGGATGGACAACAAAAAAATCTGGGTGATGGGAGACAGTGGTTGGTGTAAGACATGAAAAAGAATAATAATTTATAAATTATCAAGGATTCATGAGGGAGGGAGGTGGGGGAGAGGGAAAATGAGCTGATAGCGAAGGTCCAATTAGAAAGAAAATGTTTTGAAAATGATGATGACAACATATGTACAAATGTGCTTGACACAATGTATGTATTTATGGATTGTGATAAGAGCTGTATGAGCCCCCAATAAAATGATTTTAAAAATAGTGATTAATTTGATAATTTAATTTTCAATTCAAGTGTGAGTTGAATATCTTTTTTTTAATGAGAATACTGTGCATGCTTATTGAAGGAAAGAACATAAACTATAGACCATCAGGCATTTTTGTGGGTAATTACTCTTGATCATTTTCATAATTGAAAAAACTAACTTTGCTACAGAAATGACCAAGTTAGTTACCTGTATTCCTTTCCTGGGTTGCTCCAAGTACTTTTTCTTCAGCTCTTGGGTCTTGTGAAGGAGGAGACGATATCCCCCTGGTTTAGAGTAAATGCCCTGCTTCACTTCTTCTTCTAGGCAGCTGAAAATATCCTGAAGTAAAGCTGAGCAGCGATCCGAAGATGCTCGCAGATTCTGTTTGCAGTAGTCATCCCTCCTTTTCTCTAGCTGTTCCTGTAATGTGAAAACAGGGGTTGAGGGGAATTGCAGGAGAAGATGTTAGAATTTTAGGAACTATTTATCCACAATGTCGATTACCTGTAGACACGGCCTATAGACACTGATTGGGATATTGAGTCTACTGAAATTGCTTTCTATTGGAGGTGATGGTCAAAGTGCAGAGTGCTAGTTTATGCCATAATTTAGCAGTGCATTTCTCCTTTCCAAATTGTGCCAAAGATCTCACCAGAACAAAATGTGGTAAAATTCAATCCTGCTCACAATAAATAAGACTACAATTCTTTTACTTTTACCTCTAATACCAAATCTGTCTTACATCAGTGAACATATGCTTTGATTAGAAGTTCTGGTTGAAATTTAAATATGTTCAATTAAACTAAGGGGAAGATTAATACATGTATACCTCACTTAGTGACTGTTTTGTTAGCCAACATTTCCCATTTATGACAGTAAGAAAAAATTTACTACCCAACCCTTTTGCTCATTAATGACTTAGGTCTGAGTGTAATAGAAGGTGATGTGTGAGGGGAGAGCAATGTTAGCAATGATGGTGAAGGTCATGGGTCAACTCTCCTGGGTCTGGAGTCTCAGTGGTTTGCAGTAGTGAAATGATGCAAATTTACAGTTAAGTAATGATGCTGTCATCTGCAATTTTGCATAATTTTTTATATCAAACTCAGGTTTGGAACCTAATCATGTCAATAAGTAAGGAGCAAGTATAGTCCATTCTTGGTGCTTTGAGTCTATAATAATACAATTTGTCCTCCTTTTACATGTTGGTTTCCAAAATGTTTTGGGCAAATTCTATTATCCCATAATCTCATTTTTTCCCACAAACTTTTTGAAGGTCCTTGTAATTAAAAAGATGTGGTTGTCAATATTTTAAAGTCGAGTAAGACTGGTCCATTTCATTTTTTAGTATTTCATCATAAAAAACTCATTTTACATAAGTGAGAGAAATTACCGCTAATTTCTTTTGAAATAAGTGGTCTATATCTTTGAATGAACTCTTGATGAAGAGTTGAATGGCTTCTTTCTCAACGACTCTGTGCAGGTCCAGCAGCTCCTTGAGGGTTTCTGTGGGCAGCTGCACCTTCCGGCCCATCTGCTCATCATAGTGGGCAATAGCCATTTGCACTGCAGCCGAGTTCTCTATCTGGGCCAAAGCCAGGATTGCATTCTCCATACAGGGCAGGTCCCCACTGCTGATGGCATTGACATAGGTCAGCACGAGGTTCTCCAGACCTACAAATTAAAAACAAATGGCGATATTCACTGTAGGTGGTGGGAAGACACATCTGTATGCTGCGTAATTCTGAGCATGTCTGTTAACAGCACTATAACACTCTACCAATAGCACCAGCATTACCTAGAAATTTGTTAGAAATACAGACTCTCAGGCACCCCCAGCCCTAGTGATCAGAACCTGGCCTTCGACCAAATCCCTTAGTTATATGTGGACACCAACAGTAGGAGCTCTGGTGCCATATAGGTTGCTCCTTGGGCAGCTACTGAAACATCAGCAGATCAAAACTACCAGCCACTATGCAGTAAGAAGCTGAGGCATTCTACTCCCATAACGATTTACAGTCTCAGACCCTCACGGGGCAGTTCTACCCTGTTCTATGGGGTTGTCATGAGTCATAATCTACTTGAGGGCAGTGAGTTTGGTTTGGGTTTTGAGTTCTATATAAGACAGGTGTGTATTTATTTAATGTTAATATCCATTTTACTATCAAATACCATTAGGACAAAAGCTCTGCTATGTATGTCTATATTATCAGTCCTGACATATGATCAGTGTTTGTCGTTTACCACCTACTGTATTGACTTGATCAGTTTTTCTGACTTCATCCATGTCAAGCTCTCGAACGTCTTGCTCTGGTTTCTCTATCCTTTTCTCTCCAAGACATATGACTAGCAAGACCTATTCGAGCTACTGGTATCAAGTGGAAGTTAAGACCACAGTAGCAATGCACTTTACAGTCCTGTAAGCTGAGATTCTTACTCTGCACTCACTGCCCTGGAGTCTCTTTAGACCTGGTGGGCATTACTTCTTCCCAATATATGCTTTACAATGAGCAGAACAGTCGAGCACTCACGAGGTCCATTGACTTTGAGGTCTCCTGAGAGAGTCTTGATCTTAGAATGGCTGAAGATGAAGGAACAGAAGACTGCAACTTGTTGCACAAAGTCAGGATCCAAGCAATCATCATGCAGTGCCTCGAGCTGGCCAAGCTTCTTCCGATGAACGGGTCGATCGAAAATAAAGCATTTCTTCCTGGGGAAGAACTTCCGGATACAGAGTCGGGGCAGGTTATAATTTTTATCTTTTTGACTATTACCTGAAAGAAGATTTACAATGTTTTTCTTAATTCAATTGGCCAATTTTTCAAAGGACCAAAACATAAATATGCTTTTTACTTTGTAGCTTAATGGTCTCTTTCAAAACATTTCCACTCTGTTTTTTGTAGCGTGAAAACAGCCATAGACAATGTATATAAAACATGCTCATGATTGTGTTAAAGTATTTTTTTTTTTATTTACAAAGACAGTTGGCCGACTGGGATCGGTCTGTGTGGGCTACAGTTTTCCAGCCCCTGAACTACTATGTAATTCACACTTTACTGTAATCAGTTGCCTTCTCAAATGATCTCTTCTTCATTTTATTTGGCTAACTACAGTTTTACAAACCCTAACTACAGAAATAAACTCAGTATAATCATAGCAAAGGCAAGGTGGAAGAAAAATTTTTTTCTTTGAACAGAAAATTTGTTTTACTAATTAATTATCACATGGTATAATTAAAATTTGTATTTTTTAGTTCATCTATTTAGCAAGCATTAATTCTTAGGAATAACCAGTTTGAGATGGCAACACCCACTCAAAAATAACAATTTATAGTGTATTTTACTCCCCATTCTCTGCTCCTGAGTCTCCTTTACCTGGGCTTAACTTCAGGGAATTCTCCAAGTATTGGTCTGCTGTGATGGGTTGTCCATTGACTTCCAAATCCAGGGAGAAATCTCTCAGCGTCCACACAAAGTCTGGAAAGAAGCTCACAAAGTCAGCCGAGTCCTCCACCTCGCTTACAGCAGAAGAATTTGCCCTGATTCGTTCTGTCAGCTCTGTCACATAGCTGAATAACTTAATTAAGGAACAGTCACACAAGTAATAGGGTGCTTCATCCTATACTAGTTTTATATATTCCACATCTTTGATACTATCTTTTCGGTCTTAACTCATGTCAATGTAGCTGTAGGTACTCGAGCTCTTTCCCCAGCACTTGATTCAAAATCACATAGCTTGTTTATGAACACCAGTGTCCCCTCTGGCTTTGGGGCCGTCCTTGAGCACAAAAGGATACTGCAGTTGGTCCATGGCCTGCTGGTTGATGGTTCCCATGCTGTTGTATACAAAGGTGCTGCTCAGGAGGACCGCCAGGGCAAAGATCCAGGCATCATTCTGGTTGTCTCCCTGCACATCAGAACACAGGTTAGAAATATGAAGGCCTTCAAAAAGTGTGTGGAGAAATGGAATGAAGGGCTATTGGATTTTTCCCCATGAACTTTTGGAATCCATTTTACACGCTCTATTTTCATAGCACATTCTTGATTCGCAGTGGGAAAGTGTGCTCGTTTAATAGGAACGATGTGAGACTAGTGACCCACAACCACTGTCTCTAGTGTTGAGCGGATTCTGACTCCCAGTGACCCTATAGGTTTCCTAGCCTGTAAACCTTTATGAGTGCAAAGAGCCTCGCTCTCTCCCTCACAAAGGTGAGTTCAAACTATTGATCTTTCAGTTAGCAGTTCAAGCTATACCTACCACACCACCAAGACTTCTTAAAGGGAAGTCATTATTACATATACATGATTCTTGGTTGTGGACTTTTTCCAGTTTTGTCCTTCGTATTTCGGGTTTTCACTGATTCATAGGTTATCACTAACCAAGCTCTCTTATGAGCATTGTCAGATAACTGCAAAGTAAATACTCAAATGTTATCGCATATTCTTGAATAAAATTTAGGTTTTTAAAATTTTAAGAAGTCCTAAATAACATTTAATTTTGCTATCTCTTTATCACAGTGAAATTTCCTTTTACAAGGGGGCTTCAAAAATTCCTTGAAAAATGGAATGGAAAGATAATAGAAATTTTCCATGAATTTTTGAAACCCCTTTGAATAAGAGTAATGCTATTTCTATTTATTTTATTGAATACTTATTTTGCACCTGACATTTTGAACTAATTATTTTTATTAAATATTCAAAACACCACATGAGGTAGGTCACATATTTATTATATCCATGTTGCAAATCAAAAAGCTGAGACTCAAAGAAGTCAAATAATTTGCTAAGGCAACTGTGTTAATGACAGAGTTAAAGTCCAACACAATGGCATGTCTTTTGGGTTAATCCTCAAATAATAACAAATTGAAAAAAATCAAGCGACAAACATAGATCCAGGAACAGGCTTTGGGCTCACAAGAAATCTCAGCTCTAACTTAAGAACAATTCGTTTTTTACATCCTGGCCTGTTCGATAATTGTCTCCAGGAAGGGAACACAGAGGAGATGGAGCTACAGCAAAATGTGGTGAAGAAATTAGATGGTGCCCATACATCAATAAAATAATGTCTGGGGTCTTCTAGGCTTGTCTCTGAACAAGCAGCCATCTAAGTGAGATGTCAACTAAGTCCACATGGAAGAAGCACACCATCACCAGCCACTGAAGGATTGTGAACCATGTAATCCAAAGTTGAAAAGAAGGATGAGTATCAGAGCTCGAAGTCTGAGAATCTGGTTTGCAGAAGGCTATTGATGAGAGTGGGAGCCCAAGATTCATAGGAAATAAGCCTCCGGGGAACTCCCTCCATCCGCAACTGAGGGATGGGAGGAAAGTGGCTACAAAACGGAGTGCAATGGAGAGTTGGGTACCGAAGGTCAAAGGCATAAATCTTACTTGAACAGTTAAAGCTTGTCAGCAGATTCCCCTTATGATGCATGCTGGAACTGATCTGGCTCCCAAAATTCGATGTATTTTGAGGCTGTATTGTTTAGCTTGGTTTTTGATTGTGCATATTAAGGGATACCTCATAAGTGTTATGTCACTGGGGTCACCTTCTTGAGGTTGTGATATATGTTTTTTCATTTTGGGGCATATGAAAACTAGGATCAATGAACCTATAGAGTCAGCAAGTGGAATAAAGTTTTTGATTTGGAAGGGGGCACAGAGGTGGGGGCAGGGGAAAGAGGTGATGACATCAAGGGGTCCAAATAGAAAAAGAATGTTTGAAAACTGAATGTGGTAGCAAATGTACAATTCTGCTGGATGTGATTGAACTATGGAATGATTTAATATATATATTAATCCCAATCAATAAAAAACCCCAAATTTGAAGCTTAATAACACAAATCTTTGAGTACATTTCTAGGTAGGATAAGATTCAGGGCATTAATTTTATTTCTATTTGTTTTATACAAATGAGTTAACTAACTTATCTCACAACCTATAGTTAATGAATAGAATATTGTCTCCTGATTATCATGCTCTTCTGGTAGAATTCTGGCTTATGATCTGCCCCACCCCCTGTCTCTGGTTGCTAAACTTGGCTTCATAACATGTAAAAAGAAACAAAAAGAAATACTGTGGTTAAGTGGAAACAGAAAACCTACATAGCGTAGAAGATATTCAGAGATGAGGATCTTAATATGACGTTGAAACTCTTTTCCTTACCTTCTCGACATCTCCCAGCCCCTCGGTATCGAGGAGAACTAAGGTTTGGGTTGGCTTCAAGGGGTGGGGCACGCACCACATCCAGATGCCCTTGGTGTGAGACTGCACCGTGGAGCCCAGAGAGAAGCCTGCCGTGAGAGATTAAGGGTAGAGAGTTAATAACAAATTTTGGAACGTGCCTTAAGAGGTTAAGTACCCAAAGTCACAACAGTAACAGAAACAACAAACCAGTATTCTTAATTACAACCAGAGAATTTGGGAAATTGGAATATCCAATACTGATTGACAACCTTTTTTGAGTGTTTGTTGTACTATGCTGACTTGCATGTTTCTGTGATGCTGGAAGCTCTGCCACAGGTATTTTAAATACCAGCAAGGACCCCCTGGTGGATAGGTTCACCACAGTCTCCAGACTAAGCCACACGAGGAAGAAGGAAGAGCCTGTCCACTTCTGAAAAATTGGCCACTGAAAATCTGAATAACAACATCACATTGTCTGATCTAGTGGCAGAAGAGGAGCCTCTTACGTTGGAAGGCAGACAGGATGTGACTGTGGAAGAGTTGCCCCTCCAAGGACTGGAGTAAAGCTTAAAGACATGGAGTAAAGCTTTGGGGACCTTCATTTGCTGATATGTCACAATTCAAAGGAGATGAAACAGCCACAGACATCCATTAATAATCAGAACATAGAATGTACAAATTATGAATCTGGGAAAATTGGAAGTTCTTTAAAAGGGAAATGGAATTCTTAAAAACCGGTATCTTAGACATTATTGAATGGAAATGAACTGGAAGGAATATTAAATATGCCATTGTGGTGGAATAGGATTACTTTACATGACTTTTCTGTCTATAGTTGTAGCTCTAACCAAGTGATTGGGTGGGAGCATCAAAAAATGTGTACAGTATCCTAATAAGGGTCAGTATTCTAAATTAGTCAGTTTTGCATGCCTCTGGGCATACTCCGATCCATTGCATCAGCAGGACAGATAATGTCATCACCAGCAGGAAGAAGTATTCCAAGGAAGTATGCCTTGGATCCCTGCATAGAGAAGCAGTGGCAGCAGCATGAGCCTCCCAGCCTATGAGATGAACAAAGCTGAATGACTTTGGGCAGGCACTGGTTTGCAGAATGGGATGCCCTTTGGGCATTTATCAGCACTGAAAGATCTTTGTGACACTTGCCCAGTACGGCAGAGGTGAAGGGTTCAGGTAAAGCAGAGGCTGAGGACCACATAGAGGTGTGCCTGCCACCACGAGTGAGGAAACACATTGCAGATTAAAGAACGGCATCCTAACATTCCTGACCCTGACTTCTAACCTATTACCTTCTCAAATAAGCCCCATGGTTGTTGGTATTGTCTGTGAGTTCTGGGTGGCTACTTCAGCAGAGATTAGAGTGCCAAGAGGGACGGTTGGTGTGAGAATAGGCTCAAGAAAGTTGGAGGGTGGAGGCATGTCTGACCTCTTTCTCAGAGGAATCATTCTGGGGCAGTGTGGAGTTGGATCCTCCTCCCTTCTGTGCCCAGAGGAGGTCAGTCATAACTCCCACACCTTTTCCTCAACTATGGGCTACTAGAAGAATGAGTAAATCTCTTTTAGAAGCCATTACAGCCAGAATGCTCCTTACGAATGAGAATGGCAAGACTTTGTCCAATGCACTTTAGAAATGGCACCAGGAGGAACCGAACCCTGAAGAAGGACATCATATTTGGTAAAAGGTCAGTGAAAATGAAGGCTTTCTTTCCCCCCTCCCCCATTTTATTTGTTTATTATTCAAAAAGGCTTCATTTGTATTTATTTAGCTTTCTGACTCTGTGCTTGTGCCATCCCCAGCTTCACCATGATGTTCTGCTCCTCAGTAAGGAAAGCATGCTCGAGCCTCTCTCGGGCAGATTTAACACACAGGGAACCACCAGAGGCCCTGCTGACATGTTTGTTTGCTTCAGACAACCTCATGAGAACTTTAGGTTCACAGTGCTGACCCCTCGAAGTCAGGCCTGAGCACGTGCCATGTGCATATTTTAGTGCTTTACCAACCTTCTTCATATAAAGGAAACAATTCTATTACCAGGGGTTGGGGACAGCCTAGTTTTGTTAGACGTTGCATTGTAGGACAGTGTGCGCTGGTAGGTCAGATGCTGAACAATTTCGAATGCCTGCCTCTACACAGCATCCCCGGAGGAGCAAAGAGGATTTTCCATGAGATGGCGTGACACAGTACCTGCTACAATGGGCTCAAACATAGACCTAATTGGGAAGATGACACAGAAGTGGGTAACGTTACCATCGTAAGATGGCTATGAGTCAGAAATGACTTGATCGTAGCACATCTAGGGACAGTTTATTCTATTCAAAGATCAATGGAAGCTTGTTGCAACTCCATGGAATATATTAGTGAATGTTTTATTCTGCTAACTAGATGATTTCATTTACATAAAAGTAAAGGAACATTTAAACTTCATGTGAAAATGTTAACATTTATATTCTACTTCTCTGCTTGGTTCAAGAATCCATTGCAATGGTCACACAGAACTTATCCTGGGTTTAAAGTAAAATGAGACAAGACCATCATGAAGCCAAATATTTCATCTCTCCAGAATAGTATGAAGATAATGGTCTTAATTGTGACTGTGAAGTTAGGTTTTTTAATATTCGCCTCGTCTCAATACTTTCACTTCTCATGTCACCATATTTGCTGCTGAATAGTATGAGTAGACAGAAGAAACTGCAGAGCTTTGCTGGGCCACTTACCCTTTTTCTTCCCAGCCAGCTTGTTCATCAGGTAGGATTTGCCTGTGCGGTAGAGCCCCACGATGGCCACCACCACCACAGGCTGCTTAATGGCAGCCAGGATCTTCAAAGCTTCCTGGTTAACCTTGAGGTTTTTATTAACGTTCTCAATGAGGCACACTGGGCTTGGCATGTGAGTCTCTGAGGCCATCTCCACGAATGTTACCTTATCTTCAAGGAAAGAGGTGAGACAAATGGAAATTTCTAGTCTCTAGTTAGATCAAGATTTCACAGCATATTGGATTTACCAGGTGGAGTCATAAAGTTTCCTAGAATGGGCAAAACTTTTGTTCATAGCAGCAAGAGAGATGTATCATTTTACAAAATCATCTAAGTATTACAAAAGTAGTCTATTGATAAAAATGATGATAAGATGATAATTTATCAATATTCAATGACTCTCTTGATCAAAATTTTCCATCTAATATTTTGCTGATAATTTTCCCTTTGATATTCATTTACTAATTCCACAAAATTTACTAGACACTAAATGGAAAATAGTATACACTGCAGGGATATATACATGCTGGCTATGTGTAAGAAAATCAAGATTTATCCATTAATTCTTAATTGAACAAAGAATTATTTTCTATTTAGATTCTGTTTATACTAACTGATAAATCTTTTTTATTACAGTGAACTAGTAATTTGATTATGAAAAAATAATAAGCTCACAAACAATACCTATGTTCACATGTAATGTACTTAGTGGTTGTGGTAGTGACATAATCTCATGTCAACTTGAGGGTATTAAGAGTGAAGAGGTGGAGGCTAACCTGTCAATCAGGTCACAGCCTGATGATCCTTCCTTGTGGTCATGGCCTTCTCAAGAGGATTCTGAGAACTTCCTCTCATTCTCCCTGGTGATTGGACCAGCGTGTTGCTGCTTGAGCTAGTTCTTGGCCTCAACCATGTGCTGCACTGTCTGTGGGCTGAGCCAACTCATGGATCGTGTTGCCTTGCTGTGCATCACTAGAGCTCCTTTGTGATCTGCTTTGCCTCGCTGATGGTGGATCATGTCACCTTCTATACATCAATAAAGATTGAAACCCCTGTGGGGGCCTGCTTTACTATGTTCCCTCACTACTGAGTGTTGCTGCCCCACCATGCTGTCTGCTGCCTATTGGCTGACTCTGCCTGTTTTGCTGAGGGGAGACGCCTCTGTCTGCTTCCTTGACCTTGGACTGGCAGGCCGAGTGAATTGAAGATACTGAAGGTTCTGAAGATACTGAACTGAGCCCTCTGTACTGCTGTGTGGACTAATATTCTTTCTTGCCATATCTATCTATCTATCTATATCTATATACACATGTAATCATAAGTGTCCTGGTTTTGTTTTGCTAGAGTGCCCTGCCTAATACAGTGGTACAGGTTAATTAATAGAACCTCTCACTGAACTCTGCCATATCAGTATTGTTTTAATTTTTATCTTTGACCCAGAGTCCCTGAACCAAGGCTCTCTTATCTTGTCCTACAGGCTAGTATATTGGTTTCTAATTTTTGTTGTGCAATGGAATCCTATATCCAACTCAGGCTGACTTTTAAAATTTTGACTCTTACTCCATTTTAAAAAAATTAATTATTTTTAATGCTTTGATCCAATGCCTCAATGTATCTCTAGATCAATTTTTCATTACCTCCAATGTTTGGTAATCTAGTACTTGCTTTAACATACAATTTTGCTTATTTTATACTAAGATTCTATGTTCAGATGAGACATAATGCTTAGTGATATGAAAGATGGTCTTGAAGCATTCTCTCATGAGCAATGTCTCCTTTATTCTCTGAATTTCCTTTTTGAAGGCTACTTGCATATAATAGTAAATATTTAAAATATTTGAAGACTATTTGTATATACTAGTAAATAGTAAAAAAAACAAAATCAAACCTATAAGATCTTCCTGTACTGATTTTGCTTTTGTATATTTAACTTCTGAGTCAACCTCTGAACTTGAATTGACCACAATTAAAATCATGTTAGTTTAGAACTCGTTTATTCTTAAGTTTCCGGATTTTTTTCTCATCCTACAATAAGAAAACAATTCTGAGAATTCTGCTCTGGTCAAGATGGAGTAACAAGTACTGGATTCATCCTTCTGCAGGAAACAACCCAAAGATAGACAATATATCGAATAATAATCTTCAAGACACTAGGTATTGGGTAATAAACTAGATACAGTAAAATAAGTTGGATTGATCATCTGAGAGATTTTTCCTAGGCCTGGTGTGCACAGTGGAGGACTGTGTGCAGCCCTGATGATTTGTTGATCCTGAAATCGAAAGGGACCAAGACAGCTGGAAGTTACAGGAGAGAGCGTCAGAAAGGAGAACAGTACACAATAAAGAACTCTGGAGATTATCAAAGATCCCCTGAGCATCAGCTGAATGTAGACCAGTTCATAGTTAGGAAGAACCCGTCAGAATTGGTGAAATAAATGACTAGTGAACTTAGCATTTCAAAACGAAGTGCAAAGAAAAGAGACTCTAGACAAATAGTTTTTCATTTTTTATAGAACAATTTCCAATAGTCCAATATTTATGCATTGGGTTACTGACCACAAGGTTTAGTAACTTGAACCCACCAGGTGCTCTGCTTACGAAAGATGAGGCTTTCTGTTCCCATAAACATTTACAGCCTCCGATATGCACAGGGAAGGCGGGTGGCATGTGAAAGTTCATCTAAAATCCAGGAACACCAAGAAACGCCCTGGGTTACCAGAAGCTGTAAGAGACACATGACCTGGTTTCCATGTTGATTTGGCCTTCCGGTCTCCAGAACTGTGAGAAAAGAATGTTTGTTTCTGTAAGCTACCCAGTTTGTGGTATTTTGATAAGGCAGCTTTAAGGAAATAATGAGTCCATAAAAAACCTAAATGATAATTTCTTCAACCTCAAAATGTAGAACTTCTGACCTTCAAAAGATAGTCATGTGTTTTTTTTCAAAGTAATTTTATCCAGTATATATAAAGAACTCTCATAAAGACAGTAAAAGATGTACATAGCTATGTGTCCGATGAAGATACAAGGATTGAAAATAAGCATTAGTTAAATAAGGAAATGCAAATGCTTTTCTCAATGGCCCGCTTTCTTTGGGAGGCAGAATAGGGGACGAAGGAGAGCGCCTCACATGAAGGGATGATGGACAAGGCCGTTCCTGCCAAGAGCTTCAGGGCAGCGTATCCAGACCACCAAACAAGGATACTGCCTTTCAACCCAAACAGACCCAAACCAAGACCACTGCCACGGAGTGATTTCCACTCACAGTGACCTCTCAGTTATGCACAAAGTATATTCCTTAAATGGGCAGCCTTTCAGTAAAGTAGTGGATAGAAGGGTTTAAGGAATGGGCAGGTCAAAAGAAACTACTATTCTCAAGAAACACATCTACTTTCAAAGAAACTACAGGCAGATGATTAAAAGTGTGCTGTTTTCATGAATCTTCCTCAGCTTTTCATATCAAGTTCAGCTTTCTCTTTCTTTAACAGTGAGCTTACATTTGATTTTCTCTCTCTCTCTCTTGAAAATAGTGCCCTTTATAGTCTTAGATGTTATCAGAACAGTAAGGAACAAGTTTCAACAGAGACAGCAGTCATTTAATAGTGTCACTAGTCAGCACAGGCAGTGTCAAGACAAGAAAAGACAATCCTGAGCATTTCACATTGGAGACCTGCTGGTGCCGGATTCAGTACAGAGCACAGCAGGGAGTCAGTCCTCAGGGACACAACCTGGGGAGGCCAGGGCGCCGGGGAACTACTGTCACATTAGTTAGTGCAGCTCTTGTTGGTGCCGGTCCCTTATAAACCCTTCCCACCCTGCCCCACTGCTATTGTAAGCTCTATCCTGGACCAGAGATCCTTTAGAGCTGGAACAAACCCTGCTTGGTGAGAAAAATAGTAAATGTTCTTACCTTCTTTTCCCCTTGAACTTAGGTGGAGTGGTTTTGCGATTTCTTGTCTCTCACTCAATCTTGGGACTTTTATCTCACTCCTCTAACCTCGAGGGGTGCTCTGGGCGTTCTACTGTGACCGGCACTGCCACCGAACCAGAGGAGAGTGAAACTGAAAGCACTGAGTGCAAGTCAGGCAGTGTCTCAACAAGCAGACAAAGAATTACAGGAAGCAGTGCTAGTGGGAGGGTACATGTTTTCCACAGATTTTTTTTTTTAACTGGAAGTGATCTCAGAGACATGTATTGGGGGTGGGAGCCGGGGAGGGGGGGAAGAGTGCCTATTGTATCACTAGAATATCATGAAATATACTACAGATTTGGGCATCACTTTGGGGAAGATCAAAAGAAAGAAATCAAAGTCCCCCACACTTAAAATCTTTCTCCCTTGAAGTGGCTGGTGGGTTCAATCCATGGACCTTGTGGTTAGCAGATCAGGGCATATGCCACCAGGCCTCCTCATAAAAAACCTTTATAAAACAAAATTATAAAAATCAGAAGCTATGGTTCTTGACATATCCTCCACACAGGTCTGTACACTTCTGATGGAGATGTTGACATCTTGCTACCCCTTCCCATCAGAATTCTGGACACTGATTAGTATCACATTAAGAAGAGAGTTTTCAAGTATTCTCTCAATGCAAGAACACTTTGTTCTATTTAACTGGCATTCCATGATGCTCACCTTCCCAACATGATCGCTGAAGACAAAGGGGGTGCATAAGCAAATGTGGTGAAGAAAACTGATGCTGCCCAGCTATCAAAAGATATAGCACCTGGTATCTTAAAGGCTTGAAGATAAACAAGCAGCCATCTAGCTGAGAAGCAACAAAGCCCACGTGGAAGAAGCATACCAGCCTGTGTGATCACGAGGTGTCAATAGGATCAGGTATCAAATATAAAAAATCTTATCATTGTGAATGATGGGGAGTGTGGAGTGGGGACCCAAAGCCCATCTGTAGGCAACTGGACATGCCTTACAGAAGGGTCACAGGGAGGAGATGAGCCAGTCAGGGTGCAGTATAGCACCGATGAAACCTACAACTTTCCTCTCGTTCATCAGTTTTCAACCTGTGGGTTGCAACCCCTTTGGGGGTCGAACAACCCTTTCACAGGGGTCACCAGATTCATAACAGTAGTAAAATTACAGCTATGAAGTAGCAATGAAAATAATTTTGTGGTTGGGGGGGTCACCACAACATGAGGAACTCTATTAAAGGGTCATGGCATTAGGAAGGCTCCCTGCCCCCCACTCCCCGCCACTATCATGATTCCAATTCTACCTCAAAAATCTTGCTAGACCAGAGGATGTACACTGGTCAGATAAGAGCTGGAAACACAGGGAATCTAGGATAGATAAACCCCTCAGGACCAATAATGAGAGTAGTGATATCAGGAGGGGAAGAGAAAGGTGGGGGAGAAAGGGGGAATTGATCACAATGATCTACATATAACCCCGTCTCTGAGGGACAGAAAACAGAAAAGTGGGTGAAGGGAGACATCAGACAGTGTAAGACATGAAAAAACTCATAATAATTTATACATTTTCAAGGGTCTGGAGGGAAGGTGGGTGGGGGAAGGAAGGGGGAAATGAGCAGCTGATACCAAGGGCTCAAGTAGAAAGCAAATGTTTTGAGTCTGATGATGGCAACAAATGTAAAAATGTGCTTGACACAATGGATGGATGTATGGGTCATGATAAGAGTTGTATGAACTTCCAATAAAATGATTTAAAAAAAAAAGAACATAGTTGAAAGCAGATTCCAAATCCCAGGCAAGCCCAGGGAGGGGATATTTTGTCCGAGAGAGCTAGCCTGCATGTGATTTACTAATGATTTACTAAAGGAACCCTGGTGGCGGAGTGGTTATGTTTTTGGGTTGCTAACTACACATTCAGCAGCTCGAAACCATTAGCTGTTCCTCGGGAGAATGATGAGACTTTCTACTCCCATAACGAGCTACAGTCTCAGAAACCACAGGGGCAATTCTGCACTGTCCGATAGGGCTGATATGCGTCAGAACCAACTCTGTAGCAGCAAGTGAAGGAGCCCTGCTAACATAGTGGATAAAGCTTTGGACTGCTAATTGCAAGGTCTGCCTTTTGATGAATTATTCTGCTCCCATAAAGATTAACAGCCTCAAACACCCGGAGGGGTCGCTTTGCTGTGTCCTACAGCCTTGCTGTGAGTCAGAGTGGAATCAAGGGCAGCGAGCTTAGCCATCACACATTATCTAGTTTTCGTTGAAACTGGGGCTTCTGGTAATGATGACTCAGAGACCACATGGGCACGAATCCTAACAGAACCACCAAGTAGCCAAGTGCACGGAGAGTCAGAACCAATCCTTAAGTTTCTAAATCTGCAAGTATGCACATATCCCAGTGAGGGTCCCCCTCCCCACTTCTGCAATCCTGCCTGCAGCCATGAAAAACTGTGCCTACTATCAGCTATGATCCTGTGATTGTGTTGTTCTATACTGGATTTATGAAAACTATGGCTGTCGATAGGTGGGAATCCACTGGATTCGCGCTGATAAGTTCCCTTCTCTGGTTTCCCTCATCTAGGATGATTTAGCTTTGTATTTTCTCTGTCTTATCTAAGGCTGAATAAAAGAGTTTTAAGTAAAAGAGAGAGAGAGTGTGTGTTTTGGCATCTTTAAAGGATTCAGATAAGGTTTCTTTGAGAAACAGAGATCATCAGAGATCTCCTTTGAACTTTGGGGGGAAAAAAATCCAAAGTGGTAAATCAGGGCTGGAGGGTGAAAGGAGTGAGCTTTCCTAATGAAATTCTTAAAGGACAGCTCTTGCTGCTGTTGTAAATGGGTGAGATTAACCCCACCACGATATTTGTGTTAGACAGGGTTCTCTAGAGAGATAAAACCAAATTGCTGATAATTTAATATATTTATTTATAAAGATAATTAGATATATAACAAGAAATGAACTGTTAAATCATATACAGATAAATATATAATACGAGAAACAGTTAAATTATAAAGCACTACAAATGGCTCAATTCAACTCACTCCTGTGAGAGACTTGTGAGAGGCTAGCAGTCCTTCAAGTCCAGTCTGCTGCCAGATCTTCCTCTATTTATAGAGAGAGCTAGGCTATGTCAGCACAGCAGCCAATCAGAAGGCAGGTCACCAACTGCCAGCCAGGTCATCAACTGCCAGTCCCCAGCTCCAGCGATGTCTTAAAGGGACCTCAACTTACAGCGACACAGTCCACAGGCTAGGCATCCCACAGCTAGTGTAGCCTTTAAATTGAGGCACAAGACAAGCAAGGCAGCCGCACACTGGTCCGATGATCAAAGAGCGAGAGACAAGAAAGGCAAGACTCACCAAGCCATTTATCTCTCTGCCCTTCAGTTAATCCCACTTGTGTTTATCGGCCAGGCTGACACAATAAACTATCTCAGTATTAATAAGTAAAGCCTTGATGAGAGCACCATAGAACTTCCTTGCAAGACATTGAGCCACCTCAAAGAAACAAGCACAAGAAACTCCATTTTAGAGAAGAAATAAAGTGTAACATCGGGGCCCAAATCAACAGCTGATCCAAGGAGCCACCACAAAAATGTGGGGAACCCTGATCAGACTGGGCTGAGACCTGACCGATGCCCAAAAGCCAGCCAAGTCACCTAAAGCATGGAGAAACTCGATGAGACTTGACTGGGACAGTGCCTACATCAAAGAGCCAGCCAAGCTGTCCATTTAAACCTGGGTAGAGACACTGACTTTCAGAGAGCTAGGCACCAAGGAGACATCAACTCCTGCTCTCTCCCACTCTACCCAGGGTGAGCACACCGATGAGGCAATGCTGATTGGGACTATGGTGCTAGTATGAAATGCGTGAAGAGTGCTGTTATTGTGCCCTTATGCTCATAGTTGTTTGCCCTTAGTAGTTTGAGTAATATTTTAGATTGTTTGATGTGTGTTTGCAGTGAATAAACCGAGCATTCGAAAATGCCTAAGAGCGTTAAGTAATTATTGATCGTGCCGCTCATGACAAGCCTGTAGTAAACAGCTGGGCCCAAAGTAGGCTGGTGTCTGGAAACCTCTCGATTCAGAACAGAAATTCCAAACTTTGCAGTTCAACACAGGGGCTGGCTCAAGGGATGGGCTATTCTAGCTGTTATCTTCTTAGGTTGGCAGCATAATGGGATTGGGGGAAACAGCACAGCAGCAGGTGCTAATTCAAGTTCTTACAAGATAGTGTACCTTTCTTGCTAATTGAGCAGGCGGGGTTTGGAGACATCTCAGAAGAGTCAAGGTCTTGTTGGGAGAGCTGGGAGAAGAAAGAGAAGGGGGCTCACTGGTGGCTGGGGTGAAAGGCAGTTTGAAACAAGATGGAGTTCCTCATGTTAAGCTAGGTGACTATACTCTGCTAGGAATGAACAGGTACATTGTGGTGATGGAAAAATAAATTCCCTGGCAATACTTTCCTGGCCTTTTGCCCCATCAATTCAATTTTCAGCTTTCTAAAACTTCTTTCTAATAGGTAAGTCCCTGGAGCATCCTGTGTTTTGGAGAAAATCTGTCAAGATTACCTCATTGCAATCGTAATCATAAAATACAGTCACCATGACCTTCTGAGCCGAACTTTCTGCCTTGACTTGCAAGGGCCCAGCAGATGCTCTTGGAAGCTACTGCTTTGATTGGAGTAAAAAGCAATTTTTTAATGACTCAAATGAAATAAATTTTTTTAAACTGACACTCAAATGAGTCTAAGACAAGAGTATTACTTAGAGAACTGTGGCTCTCGGTGGATAAGCATGTTTTGTGTGGAATTAATCTGTACATATACAAAATGAACTACAACTCTAGTAATCATACTTTTTGATGTACCCTCCAGTTTTTAGCCTCAAGTGTTCCCTGGTGAAAGCTTAATTGTTCTCTAGGAAGGTCAATCCCCAATGCATCAGTTCAGGTAGGTTCTCTAGAGAAGCAGACTCAGGGGCTCTTGTATGTGTTTGTATATATATAGAGATTTATAGCAAGAATAAGCTCACCAGCTGTAGAAGTGGGTAAGTTCAACAACAGACCAATGTTTCTGTTCAGACTCAAGCAGTCACATGCAGTGATACAGAGTATAGGAAGACCATAGGCTGCTGGGTGCAGTC